TTTTTCCGCTCCGATGAGGAGACCATTCATCTGTAGGACATCCAGTGTTGCTAAGGATAGGTCGTGAAAAAATTGTCACTGGAGCCACAATAAGCCAGGCTGCAAAATACAGACTTTTTCGAAATCGGGAGTGCAGAGTTTAGCGTTTGGTTGTGAACCAGGCCACGACCCGATTCAAGTTTAATCCCTCAGTGATACATATCTCCAAGATAAAGGTCAAAGGTCACAATGGGACTTTATTGGCTCGGTCGTAACAGAAGATGAAGGGATAAGGTTTTTACTGTCTTTCTCCGCTTTGTCTAAGGACGGAGAATTACTCAGCTCGAAATCACCTGTGCACACCATTTGTAAGACAGGAAGTGCCAAAGGAATAGCAGATATTTGATGTCGTTCCTGTCTTCAAAATAGATGTTATATCTGAATATCAGCCAATTATCAGAGTGCCCGTTTGATCATGATCGCTTCCAAGTTGCCCACAGATATGATCCCACGCAGGAATACCAGCACCTTTGTGAGGAGAGCCGTGAAAACCAAGCAGAGTTCCGTTCGGGTCGTGGCTGCATTTACCATATCTCTACCTCACGACAACTGCTGGAGCATCGTCACACAGAAAAACAATAATTGTTGTTCTCATGTCTGAACGTAATGTCCGGCTCGGTCGCGCTGCTTTGTGGGGATGTCTATCTTTCAATGGTGTGCCACGCATTTTCTTCACAGTCCTCCAACCATCATACTATATACCTGCGGGCGCGTTAAGGTCTGCTGGGAATACTCTCCCAACATGACCAAAAGTGGTGCCCTTCAGGCTTACTGTTTGTCACCTTTTCTCCATAACCTAATAGTGGATTAATTAAGTGAGAAACTTTTGTTGTCTTTCACCCTAATTTTGGACCTTCTTTCCTGGGAAGCCCTTAAATTCATTGAATATTTGGCCAATGTTGCGCTACTTCTTTCAGTTTCCATTCAGATAAGAAACACACCAAATAACCTAAGTGATGTTACCATGCGTTTCGAATTGCGTCTCTCACCCTCAAAGTACGAAGTGCTATTATACGACTGGGCGAGCGCGCCACTAAAACAGGCTATGGTGTCAGAACCAAGTTACTGTCTGATTTCGTTTCCCCATCCTGCTGCATTCGGGGATTAAGGCGACCCGGTCGATGGCATGATTTCTTCTTCCAGGATGGGGACCGCGTGATCCTCGCTGTGCCTGGTTGGAGACACTACAAGATATGGCTGCCAACCGTTGTCAGTGGCGTTCTTGTTGTCAGTTTCTGTCCAGATTGCCTGAGTGAATTTCTGGAGGTGTAGGCACCTCGGAATGATTGTGTTAAGCTAGCACTAAGTCCCTCCCCCATCCACCTTTATTCTTTTCTTTACAATAAGGCTTTCAAATAAGTCATGGCTGTACGGCAGTGAAGCATTGGTGTTGAGCACTGATGTCATGCTGTCGTTGATGATGATGATGATTTCTCTTCACGTTTTGAAGCCTTACATCCAAATAAATAAACCTTGTGGTTGTACGGCAGTCAAGCATTAGTGTCAACAATGGCGTCGCTGTCTCTGACGATGATGCGTTTCGAAAAGAAACATAAAACGGACGGAAAGGGTGGAAATTATATAATTGAGGTGTTACACTTCGGACTGCTAATGGTGCATCGAAAGATAGAGAAGTAGGGTAAGAACGCAGAACGGCAAATCATAGTAGTTTGTGCGTCCTTATTTTTTCGGTCGGCACATGAACTCAGCAACTTAGGCCCCTAAAAGATGGAGGGCGTCATTTCTGTCGGTGACGATGTGAGCCATATACTACCTCCAGTGATTTCCCTAAAGGAGCGTCCACTAAAAATCACTACATTTGGTTCGATATTGAGGCCTTCCAGCAAGGGCCACCCTGGATGCCCTCGGAGAGGGATTTGTTCTCTGGATGAAAAATTCCTGTCGGGTTTCCCCACATTAAATTATCAAGTAATCACATAGCTCATCGCAGTGCACACAAACCTTCCCCCAGCGTGGTTGGGATGTCTGAAATTTTTTTGAGTTGCATGAACCTGCATTTTTGGGTAGCGAGGCAGCTTTAAACTGAAAGGGTGTTACAGCTGAATGTTTAATATTACTGTTACGAGAATCTGAGGTAGGCCCTCGAAATACCGACTTCTTCGAAGACAGGTTGCCGTTTTAAGGGCTTAACATTAGTACCTTCTGCCATCCACGGCTGAACAGATGAATCAAAGTCGTTTTTTGTAGTCCACTTGACACCTGGATACCTGATAATTAAGATTCTGACAACAAGTCGAGTATATCACGAGAAATGTAGTGCATTTAAATGAAAAATTCGTTTTGTTCGGGGAGATTTCTGGATTTTTATATGTGCTGTTTGTCGTGATTTCCAAGCCCACCGCCCTTTAGCATATCGTATGCGATATCATCACTCGTCATTTTTTATGATGTGTTAACTATGGTGCCGGGGCTGGTAAATCACCCATATAATTATTTAAATTGCTACACAGCTGCAAGAACCGCGTACTTGTCATACAGTGGTTGTAGCTGCCACAGTTTCGTCCACCAATGATTCGGGGAGGTGGGGTAGGTAGCTGCGCATTGGAGGCGGAGCTGACAAATTAGTGCGTACATACAGCACTGTAGGTGGGCTGCTAAGTGGGAGGATTGGGAAGGGAGCTATGCATTGAAGGCAATAACTTGGATGCATGAGCGCCATTGAGGGTGCGACTGGGCCATGTCTGACAATGTCTCCTACCATTGATATGGCCCGTCTCGGGGTCCCCATCCAGGAGGACGGCATTGACCAGTGCAGCTGAGTTTGCTGGTAATAACTTCCATACTTCGCTGCCAGGTCATTGTTTGACCGCCTCTGACTCTCTTCCACCCTTCACGTAGTTGTGCGAAAAGAGCGCTTCAAGGAATTCGGTCGACTGGCATACGCGGCACGTGGCCAAGCCAGCGCAACCTATGCAGTGTGATCAGTTCATGTATCGAAGGTGAGTTATTTTCACCTAATATCATTCGACGAACTTCAACACTGCTAATTCAGTGTTCCCACCAGATTCGAGCAATGCTCCGAAGACATCGATTGTCAAACACTGAAATTCTTTTGACGTCCTCGGCGCGCACCGGCCAGGTTTCTGATCCATATAGTCATATGGAGCGCACCACAGCACTGTAAACTCGACCCTTGACAGAGTAGCTGATGTCACGCCCGCGCTGCAGGTGACGCAGGTTCATAAAAGTTGCTCTGGCCTTCCCAATCCGGATGAAAATATCATTCTTCGAGGGAGCACCAGGACTGATACAGCTGTCCAGGTCATCATCATCATTGTCAGCTGTAATAACCGCGTACTCGTCGTACAGTGTTTGCAGCTGCCGCAGTTTCGTTCACCGATGATTTGGGGGGGGGGAGTAGGTAGCTGCGCATTGCAGGCGGGAGCTGATAAATTTGTGCATAAATCCAGCACTGTCAGTCGGCTGTCAAGTGGGGGGATTGGGAAGGGAGCTACGCGTTGAATGCAATAGCTTGGATGCACGAGCGCCATTGAGGGTTGTCTAGGTAGACAAATTTGTCTACTACCTCATCCGCAAGCATGAGGCTGGGGTTCGAGCCCAATCAGTTTTGCAGCAGCACTTTACACTTTGCAGGTGTGAAGCTTATGCCAAACCATGAGGCAGAATTATTTAGATTATTAAATATTCTTTGCATTACTAGGGGGCAGATCCGAGAAGAGCTATGTCGTCCGCGGACTCGATATCCGTGAGTGGACGCCCCGGGAGCACTTCGAACCCACAGGCGTTAGAGGCTGATAGTGAGTCTTCCATGATCGTATCAGTGACGAGGTTGAAGAGAGAAGGTGAAAGAGAACAGCCGCGTCTGACACCACTTGATGTAGTGAACCCAGGCAAGAGCTTCCCCTAGACCTTCACACAGCTACGGCCTTAGGGAGGGGGGTCAAGAACTTTTGGAGGACACCTTTACTCCGCAGACTGCCTTAGTGCCTGACGGTCCACAGAGTCAAAGGCGGCTTTCAGATCAAAGAATATAACCAATATTGGTCGCTAGAAACAGCGTCGCTCTTCGAGAATCTGTCTGAGGGTGAAGATGTGATCGATGCATCCTCTTGCATGACAGAACCCAGCTTGATTTTCACGGATCCCTCTCTCTCTCTCTGTGTTCAGCCAACCTTCGAAGGATGAGACCAGAGAGAACCTTCGATGCAACAGCTAACAGGCTGGTGCCATGATGGTTTTCACACAGCGTCCGCGCACCCTTTTTGAAGATAGGGATGACTGTCGACATGCCCCATCCTGCAGGCACCTTCTCTTCGTTCTGTATAGCACCAATAAGCTGTTAGATGGATCGCCAGGGATTCTCCGCCTTTGAACAGAAGACAGATTTCAGACCACTATACGTATTTTTTTGTATCTTTTTGTGCGTGACTACATGTTTGTTAACTAAAGTCTTTGGGTTATTTGTCTCTGTTTTTGTTCTGCTTTATCTTACCCTAGGTGGTCCTGGATGGTCTGACCTACCCAGTTCCATCCGGTTGTTATTGTCACATGCCTATTTCAAATGCTCGCGCTGTCCATGCTTTTCGTACGCAATGCCCATTCTTAGTAGTTTTTACTTCGCTCATTAATAACTCGATGCAATGGGTTGGTTTTCTGCTAATGAATGTTTAATTCATGTTGACATGTGGCCCCCTTCGTACACCGTTGCAGGTGACGACTCTGACGCATACACCGAAGGTGATGATGATGACGAAGAGGGAAAAAATTCCACAATGAGTGCGGATGACGCTATCCGACTGGTAAACCAGACGTTATCGAAAATGGAAAGTCAGTTGAAAGATCTTCAACACCACCAGGAAACGCTGGTTCGCAAGGGGGACGATCTTCAGCGTGCCGTTGCTGAATTAGAAAACGCCCGTGATCCGACGGAGCTTACGCAGCGATTTTCCTCGGTGCGGGAACGTGCAACTGTATATAAGGTCGTCAGCTTGGCCATGGTGAACGTAAGTGCTTACCTGGATAATCGTTTGCGTGTGCATCATGATGGCCTGAGATTTTTCTATTTTAGGCAGTTAACTGCTTTGGGGAAACGGTGTGGTGACATAAGTGTAGGATGTGGGAAGAGACGTGGTGTGCAAGGTATTTCAGGAACGACGGGAAAACGGTCCATTTGCCAGTCTAGCACAGACACTCCGATAGGGTCCCAGCCACTACAAAGGGAGCGAATGGAGACAGCATCTAAGTAGAATTACCCCGAGAAAATCAACATCACCGCTAATGTCCATGTAGGAGTGCACTACTTGAGAGAATATTGGTTTGAGGGTTCTACCTCCAAGGTGCTTGGTCCCGTAATGTAGCTCAGCAGGAGCAGCCGAACAGTACGCTTACGCCACGGTCCGATGGTCTAATTAGGTGCGGTTCTTGGAGACACAGACAAGAGCAAGTCGGACTACGGCACCCAGCGAACGGAATGTGTAAAGCACCAACTTCTCAGCACCGAATGCCATGTAAGTGGGAATTCCTTCTCTAGGTTGCCTGTTTGCCAGTCTCAATAAACAGCTGATCTTTCGGTCACTTTCCTTACTGCCAAAGGTGTTTACACGTACAGCGGGGCAGAAAGTGTTACACATGACTGCCTGTTGATCGGATTGCTTGAATACTCAAGTTTGTTGGCTTCCGACCCCTCCTAAGGACAGCTCCCACCTTGCTTCACTTTGTCATGGGAATGGTGATAATTCATTTCTTACACCTAATCTCCTGCATCACTTGGTTTATGGCCAGACGCCCATTCTGTTTTAGTTCACTGCTTTAGATGGTACAGTTACACATGGTCTCCACTATTTTAGATGAGCTTGGTTGATCTTGGATATTTTTGGATGCTTCATTATGGTGCTCTGTTTGTACGTGGGTCGGCGTTCCCTCCTTTGCAATCTGGAATTGAAGTTTGGACATGCTTTACATTGGTTGCTGAAACAACAGTGTAGTGCACTTTCTTGGGGAGTTGTAGCGGACGTTGTCCGCTTATTATTTCCCCCACCTTTTGGATGGGAACATTCTTTTAGCCTGTTTTTCACTTCTACTGTAATGTTTCCTGTTGACTGGTCATTTTAGTTGAACGCGAACATGAATTCACGTGAGACATTTATTCACGTGAACTGTACGCGGCGTGTATGCGTGTGGCGCGTAAGTGACCATTTTTTCAGGTATTCAAGTAACATGATGCGATCGTACAAGGATCTTCGTAACATTGTTTCTGACTGCTCTTTCGTGGACAGCCGTCCTGTGCATCCGTACATCTTGTTGTGTCGCTGACCCAGTTGTTTGACACTTGGAACGCTTGGTTTCAAAAGTCATGACCATGCACTCAGTCAAGCACGATGTGCAAAGTAATTAGGTGGCTTCCTTCGACTATTTCTGTGTGGTACAGAATGTTGCAAACTGTTGCCAAATACTATTGGTAGACTGGACTGACTTGTGAAAGATCCCTACAAGGAATGGATTATTCCAGCTGCTTTGACAACTAGATTTCGACATCGAATTAGATTGCTAGTGTACGACGGATAATCTACGCATCAACTGTGGTTATTTATCAGGGAAATTGTTTCAACTATACTGTATTCGACCTCAAACCAAGGTCTTCATGCAGGTTGCGGGCATAGTATGCTAAACAATATTGTGGCTGTTTTTCCACGCTCAATGTCCTCGACATTTCACCCACAATCATCTTCAAACACAGTTAGCAAAATCATAAGCTGTACGCGCCGTTGCATGATAACTTCTTATGTCAGGTATTCAGGCACTACATGGTGACTGGAGAAGCGTCCATTAAGGTGCGAACTGTGTGGCTACACACCCTTGCGTTTCGTTTCTCAATGACTTCCTGTTCAACACGTGGTTGATTGCTTCTTAAGACTGACCACATCCTACGTATAAAACAGTCTGGAACTGACAACCCCTTGGTAACCCGTTCGCTTCACTGATGCCCATGTGATGTTGCTCATAGAGATGAAAGTGCTCTTACAGACGGGATTTTCGGAATCTAGCTGTATCTTTCCCAAATAAACGCTTCTTTATACGCAACTGCCTTGCTGGAAGTAGGTTTTCTACCAATACTTCAGTTGTACGTTTAGTCTTTCGAAGTGCACACTCTTGTCAGTCAGTTGAGGCTTAAAGTTCGTCTTCAATACTACTTAGTTGTCGTTTGATTTCAACTTACCTTTTTTAAGCTCGGGATTCTTGGTGGTAATACCCATTTCGTAGATCGATAGCTACGGATGTTTCAGCTGACTGAGACACGACAGTTTTTGTTATTAAAACCGACCACGTAATCCATTGCAACTTTTTTCCCAGTCAGTCCGCCAGTTTACTGATGCCATGTTCGTACAACAGAAGATCAACACAGTTGATTGGACTTTATCAGTTAAGCTAAAAAAAGGTCCGATTACCCAACGATTTTGTTATCAAAGTTTGATTTGTCCACTATTGCAGTGACCTGGTGATTTCACGGAAGACAATTTTCTGCATAACAGTGATCTGTAGTGTTGGAAAGCTTTCATCGCTGACTTCGGCTTGAGAAGAATCACATCACTGGTGCACGATTTCCTTCAGGTGGTCTTTTTTCATAAGTGGTTTGGACAAACATTAGGTTGCACTAAGCGGAATTGTGCTGAGTCGATGTGGATACTAAGTGCCAGTATGCGAGTTTGGACTGCGTACACGTCAGTCGGCAAGCGAGATGTCATGTGTTGGAGTCTCATCCAAGGGCATTGGTCTGCTGGCGTGCATTGTATGTAATTAGGTTCCTATTAAAGGCAGACTTGATGCCGTGAACGATCGACTTATTTTTGTGGGACACTCTCATGCCTACCCTTTTGCGACCACTCCAGTAGCAGGTAATTTCATGATCGACCACAAAATTTCTTCAGCACATATGAAGACTGCAAATTTAGAGGCAAGCGTTTATTTGCCAATGTACCTAATCTGTTTACTGGTTTAAACAACCACTACGTCGGTTGAAAGGTTAAGTTTGTTACGTGACTATATTTAACTAACTATATTTTTAATATGTGAGTTTCTGTTCATTTGGACGTAGTGCAGCAATTTCCGTCGTCCACCTATTTCTTTTCACTCCAACCGCTTTTTGCTTTCTTTATAACTTCGCTCTTCGTTTTTGAAATACTTGTGGGTTGGAATCAGACGTCAACGAGCTTAGTCGTTAACAAGATTTCTCGTTGAGCCAAATCTGTGAGAATGCAGGAGTTATAGGAGCGAATTATTGCCGAAACCTGCTGTCTTTTTGAACCACTTTTCTAAAAACAACTTTTGACTATTTCATCCACATCGTTGCATTCATGGCTTTTAGAGAACTCACACTAGCAGTTCCATCTCAAACGTGGTCCCTAGTCATGTCCTTTTTGCTCTTCTTCTTCATTTTCTACATAACTGACGTGGTGTCTGCCTGATACTGGGACACTGCTTCATAGAATATCATTGATAGCTTGAAAGCCACTATACTGAATAAACTTTCTGAGAGTTACGGCAGTGAAGCATCAGTATCAACACTGATGTTGCTGCCTTTGATGATGATGAACATGTCTGACTGCCACTGGCTGCCTCGCAACCTAGTTTTTGCTGTGGTATTGGAGTGGATAAAAAGGATTCAGTGTTCCAGGCTTCAGTGAAGAGTCGATTTCGTTGCAACGACCAGCTTCCGAAAAAGTGCTCGACGTGACGTAAGGTTGTAAGGAACTGGTGAGTTTTCGATTGTGCAACGAGTGCTTCCATTCACGACTGTGTGCAGCACCAGAAGCTGCGTTGGTTAAGCCATGTATCGCACATGTTGAACCATCGTTTGCCGAAGAGAGTGCTGTTTTTCGTGCCCAGTTCAGAGTGGCGGAAGCATAGAGGTGGTCAATCCTTAACCTGGCAGAAGGGCGCGAAGGAGATTACGAAGCTTTTGGGTGCTGTCGGTGCTACTCACCTACCCGGTTGGGAACCGATCGATCACCACTGCTCGTGGTCGGTGGCGCTGCAAGATATGGGTGCTAATCGATGGCGTTCTTGTTATCAGTTTCTATCCGGATTTCCTGAGTAAGTATTTGGAGGTGAAGGCACCTCATACTGATGGTAGTAAACTAGCATCAAATCCCTTTCCAATCCACCTTTATTCCTTCTTTCACGATAAGGCTTTTAAAAAATTGTAGTCGTACGACAGTGAGGCATCAGTGGCAGAAGGGCAGGAGATTACGAAGCTTTTGGGTGCTGTCGGTGCTACTCACCTACCCGGTTGGGAACCGATCGATCACCACTGCTCGTGGTCGGTGGCGCTGCAAGATATGGGTGCTAATCGATGGCGTTCTTGTTATCAGTTTCTATCCGGATTTCCTGAGTAAGTATTTGGAGGTGAAGGCACCTCATACTGATGGTAGTAAACTAGCATCAAATCCCTTTCCAATCCACCTTTATTCCTTCTTTCACGATAAGGCTTTTAAAAAATTGTAGTCGTACGACAGTGAGGCATCAGTGTTGAACACTGATGTCATGCTTTCCATGTTGATAAACGGGTACCTCTCTGTGTCCCGATCATGTGTACACTAAATTTTCTGCTATTGAACGGTACGAATTCCACTCAGTCACTAGCTTGGTGGTGCCGGGGTAGTTTAAGATATATTAGGTCTACAAAGCGGAAGGGCGGTGGAAAAAATCTCTTAGATGTTTGAGATAACTTCACCTACAGCGAAACCAATCACCGGGTAATGCGCACACTAGGGAAAACCAAAATATCTTTAACGGTGAGTTACCTCTTCAGGATTTTTGCATGTATATGTAATTGCTTAAAATTAATCTGCACTCTTTTTGCACGACGGGTGACAAGTCTGACTGGACGCCGGTTGATTTTTGAGTTAATGATCAGTGTTTTTAGTAGCATAGGAAGCGACTATCATGCGGACATTTGTGGTATATTCTTTTGTACATATGCCTGTCAAGTACGTTTCTTCATATTCTGATAGACGCTAGGTACGTCAGTGCGGTCCTCGATCCATCATATTTCGAAAGTGTTTTATTTGGATCCTGTGACTCTGGTAAACCCGGAAGCTGTTGCCAGACCTCATTCGTGTTTCCACTGGTAGGGCTTATTAGGTTGGAGGAATCACGCCGATAGATGCAACAATCGATTCAGCTTTTCAGTGCGTTTTTTGTGCAAACACATTAGGGTGTGCAGTGGCCCCCAATCCCCATTGAGGGCTGTTGGTGACGGAACATGATGGTTACGATTTGGAGAATGATAATTTTTCATTCGTATCGTTACCTGGACTAGGCGGTAGGTTGATCTTTTTTCACTCTCCAACGCATATTTTCCCCTGTTCGCTTTCCTTGATCCTTCCCAATTTACTTCTAACGACGGCTATACAATTAAGGTATACCTTTTTATTATCTGTTTTCTCGTTATGCCAGTCTTGTGCGCGTTTCACTACACTCGGACGGAGTCAGACTCAACGTTGGCGTCGGATCTTCAACAGCCAGCGTGAGCGCTGTGCACTGTTGGAACAAATGATTGAGGAGTTAGCCAAACAGTTACGTCAGTTGGAACTGTTGGTTCGGCAAAACAATCCACAAGCTACATTGACACTTTCAGGTGAGTACACTTCTTACTCAGATTTTCTAGCTTCGGTTACACTGTTGATTAGTTTGGAGTGTGGTACGACTGTTATGCTCTCCTTGCATGGGAATATTTTTCTGTGTTGCGCTTTGTGAAGGTAAACAGAAGTCACTTGACCTCCGATTGTACTAAACGATTGCTCGTTCGATAAATTACAACCAACGGTGCTCCGAACAATCACATCACTATTCTCACACTTATCGTCATTTGACGTCAGATTGTTGTCCAAACTACCATATTCCATTTTGTCGACTTGCTTACTATCGCCTACTGACTGCATTTTTAACTAATCGATTGGATGTGATTTTGTGCTAACTCCATACGCACACTATGTGTGCTATGGGTTTGAGTGATCTAAACATCAAGAGACACTAGCCACGTGATCCGTTACTCTGTTACTGGGGTCCGTTTTTTAACGAGTTCTTTCTTTGCACCACCTCCTGGATATTCCCGGTGCCCTTATTTTCCGCGCAACTTTATAGGCGGCGAACTCCATTTTTCAACCAAACAGAACAGCGTACACCCGCTCGGAATGAGTTCTACAATGAACATTTGAATATTATGTGTAATTTATTGCAATCAATACTAATAACTCATGTCTGCGAATTACATTGGTGCGTACGGTACGGCTTTTTAAGTTTTATTTTGCCATTTACTTTGTTCAGTTTTGCGTCCCCTGGAAGAGGCGGCTAGTCTCCTAGCGTCAGCAATATTCTTCGCAAAACTCATTATTTTAGAACTCGTAAACTGGTAACTTTCAAGCTTGGTGGGATTTTACCCCTACACGTGTTGATCCGTACATATTAAGACGTATGCTCAGCTGTGTTGATGTGTTCTACCGATAGAACTGTTTGTCTTTACCTAGCCAGTTCTCTTGTTGATTGTATGGGATCCTGAGAATTAAACAGTAGTCACAATGACACTGGTTAGAACGAAAACTTGCCCGACTTCTGTATCTCGTCTAGGCTTGGGCAATCCTCTTGCTTCCTTCCGATGGTGTGGAAGCTAAGCACCGAAAGGGTGTTACAGCTGAACGATTATTATTAATATTATTTACAGTGCTTTATGCAACTCCTGATTAGGCATTGCCTTTTTCCTAGCTGCATCAGGCTGCATACTAAATCACGTACAATGATGTGATGCTTGGGTTGGGAGAGGGTTAGTAGCCACTGTTCACTGGTCCATCCTACCTCATCTTATCGGAATCGGTTGTGCCAGATGAGATCCATCTTCTGGTAACCATTTGTACCAATAATACACACGTTCCCGTTTCTAAAAAGCACCCACAATACCATACACGCTATCAAGTAGAATGCCAGTAGCTGGGCTCAACGGACTGGACAACGAACATATTCCACTTCTTCAATGTTCTGAAAAAACAACGTTGAGAGTTACCGTCTACCAGGCTGTACGAGGAGTCAATTCCATAGATACTTGTCAATGTTTTCAACCGATTGGAAAATGTTTGAGACAGATGGGGTAGTCATCGTTTCAGAGAATTCTGGTAAACACCAGTTGTTTACCAATCCGCTCGCATGCATATCGATGTTGTTCACAAGAACTGACATCCTCTTTCGAGGGAATCAATATGTGAATTGGATTAGCTGCAGCTGGTGAACTTATATACGAACAAAGCTGTATTTTATTGTATGTTCTTCCGTCGTGATAATGCCCCTAACATCCGTGGCCCGACTATAGATTCCGCTTAAATGAAACTGATAGCTTTTCACTTCACTTTCTAAGCAACCTTAGAAGGAATATCTCACATACTGGTCTGTCCTTTATGGGTATCTTAGTCGCGGTATAAAAGCAATCGACCAGATGAACAAGTTTGAGTGAAGAGAATTGGACTTCTGCGTTCACAAATGAACTTCCCATAGGTTTTAGCATTAATTCAAACATACACAGTACTCTCTACGATAATGCCTGCTGGAGAACAATAAGCAATTTGTCACTTGACATGGTGATTCTCAGTAGCTACTTATTAATCAAGTCTCATTAAACTTTGTAATGTACTACTCATAAGGTTGCTGAAAATCTGTCGACAGCCCACGACCGGTTCCGCCCTTCTTGGGGCTCATCAGGTCGGCGCAGTCCCCGGGTTTCCGTCAACCTTATGTTCTACTTGAAACCAAATTGCACGAAATTAGCGTATATACACTCATTCACAAACTAATTTAGTTTTTCGAGAGACTCACCTGGAACCCAGCTAAATCTCTCGTTTGTGATGTTCTCAGGCAAGTGAATGTGCTGCATTAGGCCGCCTCATGTTTTAGTCGCTACGATGTTGCCTGAGAACATCGCAAACGAGAGATTGAGCTCGGTTCCAGGTGAGTCTCTCGAAAAACCAAATTAGTTTGCAAATGAGTGTATATTCGCTAATCTCATTAAACTTATTCATGCATGCCGTATGTGTTAGCTCACGGCAGCTTAGATTCTGTAACTAATTTTCGACATCTTTCGTTCCTTACCTTCAAAAAACCGAGCACGCACCGTCCTGATCATTGACGCATGTCCGATTGTGAAAAAAATCGTTCAGCTGTAGTACCCTTTCGGTGCCTAGCTGCCATGCCACACAGAGGAGGCACGAGGGCTGAGATACTGCCAGGTTGCCCAAGCCTAGACAGGGGATGTTGTCCGAGTGTATAGTTTATTTGATCGTGTAATCATGCTGATCACACCCGTCTTCACAGAGAGCAAAACCAGGTTCTGTGCTGGACAGCTACATCAATCTGTTCGAATGAAGCCGCAAGGGAGAAGGGACTTATTGTTAGCCTTGCGATGAACCTGTTCTTTCAAGAACCAGCACCTGGCTTTAGAAACGGTCCGATGAACTGCCGACAGCTGCGGCTTGTGGAGCTGCATACGGACAACGCTGTGCGCTAGCAAAAAGTTGTATTGGTTGCCGCTTTCTTATCTTAGTCGACCGATATGACGCAATTTCAGTCCAGTAACTCTCCTTACAGCCATCGCCAATAGGGCCGATCGAGAACGATTGTTTCAGGAATGTGGACACTTTGGTGGAGGAAATCGGGGTCGGGGTGTATGAATAAAATGCTTTGTAACCTCACATTTGCCCTACCCTAAACTTTAGAAGCCCTTGTTAGAGCTCATGTCAGAACAGTAGGTTGACGGGACTGCACAAAATCACCGTCATGTTTGACAGCAACGTTATCGAAGATCACTAGTGCATCGGTCTCTTACAACAGTGCCAATTCATTCGAATCAACTCCTATGATGAATGAAACAGGGAGGCGGACCTGATGCCAGCGTACCACGAGTACCTAAACTGTCTACGCCTTCAATATTCACAACGTTGACTGAAAATTACACGGATATTGGTTAGTCTCCGTATCTTTGATAGTCTCTAGCCAAGCACGTGGAACCCATTCTCGAAAGCAGACAGCATTTCCAGCATCCCTTTCGCAACCTTCGTTCCCTTCCGCCATGTCATATTTTGCCCTAATGAATGCCTTTGCCACTCCAGATTCGATATAGGTAATAAAACTCTTCTCGAGTAGAACGCGACACATAACCGAACCATCTTAACCCACAGTCTTGCATACTTTCGCCGTATGAAAAACTGGTTGCTTCACAGAACACCTGTTTCCGGATCTCATTGTGAATTATTCGGTTCCGATGGATTCCAACCACAGTTCCTAGAAATCTTGTTGAAGGATTTGGCTAAGTGAGTGATGTCATGGCCGACGTGGGTTTAGACCTCAGTGGCTGCTTCCCTCCATCTTGTTTGTCTGTACAGATGCTCCCGGACTTTTTCAAAGTTTGTTACTCCGTCTCTCCGAACAGAATTACTCACCGTGAGAGATTGTTCACTTTAAAAAGAGCAACCGATCCCCTGCAGTGTTCTTCCTCCTCACCGACAGCACAGTATTATTTTGAAAAGCGTTTCCTCATTTTTTTCACAGACTGTCAGGTGTGATAAACCGCTTGGGTGATTGTTGTGTTTTATGCGTTTGTGGAGTTGAGCGCTTTAGTCGCATTTTGATATAGGAAGGAATTGTTTTGTCTGATTTTTATCCTTTTTTTGTTCTAGATTTCAGGTATATAATGGGCGTCATTTTACAATGTCACTTTCACCTATATTGTAACATGTTGACGTGCTCACTCATTGAGACAGTTACATTGTTATTATTACCCTTCTTACTGTTATTCCTTACCGAAAATATTACGAGGTCATCGATAGTTTCAACCGATGTTCAAAAGCAGTGTACGAAGTTTGGCAGATTTGAGTTCTAGACGCGAACGTAATTACGCAAGTCAGCTGCCACTAATGTGTGTTGCTCTGCACGTGGACTACACTACAACCAGTTTTAGCAGTCAGCACCACTATCACATATTCCCTTGGAAAATGTAGGGAATTCTGTGCAGATAGCCTTACTGCTATATTCAGCTACATTTCGCATATCACCGGCTCGTATTTTCCAGCTTCCTTCCGTAACTCCTGAACAAAACTGTATTGCTTATAATCTACCTCATATTGCAACTTCGTCATCATTAAAGTGTCCGGCTTTACTGTTATTCTCTGTACGTAGCTAGCTTTTTGTTACTGCATATCGCGATTACTCCTGTTGGAATTTGGTTTTTCCCTCAAGAATCCAAAGGTTTTCGCCGGGTTCTTAGGCGACTAAGTGAGTATCTTGAATCCTTGTGATCATTCATTCCCTGCGATCAGCCTGTTTCTGCTTGGTGGCTCTTGTAAATCGATCTTTTCCATCTAACGAGCTTCACTCTTAACACAGTGGTGTAAAACTACAAGTTTCGGCATCCAATCATTTTTCAGCTCATTAGCTCTACTGTGAACGCGAATAGATTCATTAGTCCATTAATTCGTGGACCGATCATATGTCTGGGTGCTTTGTTTCGTGTTTAGATTCACTTAAACTTGGAGGGCTTAATGTCCGAATCTATCATGATTCAGTCCCCCGAAATCTCACTGTGAAATTAATTTCCTTGTA